GTAATATGGCTTTTTATGTTCCATATAGTACCATTTGATGTCGTAAATGATTTAACTTCTTGAAGGTAGAATTTACATATTTTGCAACAATTATCATTGCATTTAAATAATCCTACTTCTTTAGTGGTTGATTGAATTTTTGAAGAAGTAAGTGTTCTCAGTAATTGGGTGGTTGTTTATACGCAATTACTGGTTGGACATTAGAAAAAACTTCTTTCACTCTTTCATTTGAAGATAGATTAAGCAAAAGATTTGTTTCAGTAATAAAAAGTTGGCAGTTCAGATTGCTGTAAAAAGTTGTAACTAAAGGAAAAATTTCTTTTGATTGATTTTGGGGAGCTGGTCCTTGGAGTTTTGCGTTGTGAAATGCTTTTTCAATAATATTATTAGGATATTTGCATTCTTTTAGCCACGTTTTTAGTTCTGCTAAACGTTGTTTTTCTTTATTGTAATCAGATGTGAAAACAATCATTCTTTTAGCATGGCCATATGGGATGTTCTTTTTTATATGATAAGGATGATGGCTGTTGTAGTCTAAGTAGTCATGAGTATTGGTTTCTTTATAATAAATATCCGTTTTTATTTTTCTGTTGTTTTCAAGAATGGTAGATATGTCTAAGAAATTAATAATATTATAAGTATTTCCATCTTATTTTACTTATTGGTTATAAACATATTTCAAGTTATATATATATATATATATATATATATATATATATATATATATATATATATATATATATATATATATATATATATATATATATAAATAAATTAGTTGAAAATCTCTTGTCAAATTTTTTTCATTTTACACTGTGTTTCATCAAATAGACTCATCAGAAATGATTTTTGTTCATTTCTGACGAGTCTTAATTTTTTTTTTATTATTTAATTCACCTCCTCAAGGCCGAGAAGGCCACTACAGACGAGGAGGCTACTTATTTGTGGTTATAACCCTCTCTCAACTCGATAACTCCGAAACATGAACCTTGATGAACAAGGCCGCTGCACGGAGAAACGAGTTGAGCGCGGTACTACCTGGGGCGTGGTGGGGATCGAACTTGGAACCACTCGTTTATGAAGCAAGCGCTCTACCACTACACCACTACCGCATTATTGATTAAATTGATTAAACAAGAATTAAAAATTGATTAAAATTGATTAAACAGTGTAAAATGAAAAAAGTTTAACAAGTGATTTTTTCTGCTCTTTTAAGAACATTGAACACTCTATTGTGTAGAATACATTTAAAATTATTTGTGTGTGTATATATATATATATATATATATATATATATATATATATATATATATATATATATATATATATATATATATATATATATATATATATATATATACATATATATATATATATATATATATATATATATATATATATATATATATATATATATATATACATATATATATATATATATATATATATATATATATATATATATATAAGATTGTTACAAGATTTTTACAATATTGTTACAAGATTTTTATATTAAAAACAAAAATTGTTTAAATTGCATATTGTTGCTATGAGTAACTATTGTGCTGGATTAAATTCTAATAATACACAGGAAGTATCAATTAAAAGTATCATGTTTTTGTTTGAGCAGATGCTTTTCATGTGACAACAAAAAACTTTCATTGTTAAGCTCAAGGCAAACAAAAAGTTGGAAAAAAGCTTCAATTACACTTTGGTGGGAATGTTGAGGCGTAAACATTGTTGTCAAATCTATCAGTTGATAGGCCAGTTCTGCAGCTAGAAATATGTCTGTTTATTTGTAATCTTAAATTGTTTGTTTTACCAGTATATGTGGCTTGTTTTTTGCATGACAAATATTTAAGGTAATAAATTCCATTTTTGCTGTTGCATGTGATGTATTTTCCAAATAATGCCATTAGATGTTTCAAACTCTTCTACTTCTTGAAGATAGAGTTTGCATATTTTACACCGAATTTCTTTGCATTTAAATATGCCAATCTTCTTATTAGATGCTTCAACTTTTGAAGAAGTAAGTTTTCTTAGTAAATTAGGAGGTTGTTTAAAAGCTAGTACCAGATCAATATGAGAAAAAACATTTTTGACTCTTTCATTATGAGATACTTTGAGTAAAAGGTTAGCTTGTGAGATTAAAGTTTGACAATTGAGATTACTATAGAATGTTGTCATTAAAGGAGATATTTCTTTAGACTTGTTTTGTGGTGCTGGTCCTTGTAGTTTTGCATTATGGAATGCTTTATCTATAATTTCATCAGGATAATCTCAATCTTTCAACCATGACTTTAGTTCTGTTAAACAAAATTTTTCAATTTCGTAATTAGATGTAAAAACAATTATTCTTTTAGCTAAATTATAAGGAATATTCTTTTTGATGTGTAATGGATGATGGCTGTTATAGTTTAAGTAGTCATGAATGTTTCTTTATAATAAATGTTGGTTTGAATTTTTTTGTAATTTTTAAGAATAAATGCGATGTCTAAAAATTTAATAACACTGTAGATGTTATCATTTTTAGAAAACTCTTTGCCAAAATCGGTTGCAAAACTAATTGAATCATTTAATTCAGTGAGGGAAATTTCAAATTTTCTAATGTCAAGATGTTTTGGCCACATTATAAAACCGTCATCAATATATCTAAAATAAAATTTCTTTATATCCTCTACTTCGGGGTTAGAAAAATACTTAGGTAGGATTGTTGGAAAAAGCTTAGTCTCTTCTAGAAACCTGATGGGGAGACAGCATCATCTGATGCGAAATCTGTACCCATTACTGTACCAGTTGTTTGGTGAAATAATTGTTTATCAAATATGAAATTATTCTTTTTTGGTGGTATTGATTTTGTTTGTTGGTCATGGTCGATACCATTGTTATTTGAAACAATAGAACTTGCATTAATATTATTATTATTTATGTAGTGTGATGAATATTTTTTATTATTTAAATATTTTTTATCTTTTTCGAATTAAATTTACTAGAACTCACTTTTTTGGACCATTTTTTATTAATGCGTTCGATATCTTCATCTTTGCATTCTTGATATTGATGACTTAACTTTTCATGAAGTTCATCACTCGAGGCATGATTAATAATAAAATTGGACACTTCACCGCCTAGGTTTTTTAATGATGTGAGAGAATTATCTTGCAGAATCAAAAAAGTCACAGGTCAAAAACAGTGATGCCCTGAAGAGAGAAATGTAGTCAGCCATTCTATAGATCTCCTTGAGTATTTTATTACTCAGAATAAAAACCTGCCTGAATTCAGAGAAATGCAACTTGAATTTCATGAAATTTAAGGCGTGTAAAACGGCTCCATATTTATTAATTTTCGCCTAATGATCTGATTTTTTTACACAAGTTCACAATAATCTTTGTACTTCTCAAACGTCTAAATGTAAATGATTTTAAAATTAGAAACAAATACTTTGTTTTTACAAAAAGGTATTTTAAAGTGAAGTAGTTTTATCTTTACCTTACTTTTTTTTTTTTGGGCCTCAACGCTATCGTGTTTAAAAACCACGTTTTTTAAAAAACCTTCCATTATTTGTATTGATGCTATTATATACTTAATGATTTGTACATTTCTATTCATGCCGGTTGTTTAAAAATGCCCTTAAAAACTTAAAAAATGTGAAAAAGTTAAACTTTAAAAGTGTCGCGCAAGTATAAATAGTCATTCAAAATGAAAAACAAAAAAAATATATATATATATATATATACATATATATATATATATATATATATATATATATATATATATATATATATATATATATATATATATATATATATATGTATATACAAAACTGGATTAAACCAAATTAAGAAACAGAAACAAGATAAGAGTAGTAAAAGTGGCAAAGTTTGTTTTTATATACAGAACATTATGATGTAATGATGTATTGATGAAACATTATGATGTCATGATGTATTGATGAAACATTATGATGTAATGATGTATTGATGAAATATTATGATGTAATGATGTATTGATGAAACATTATGATGTAATGATGTATTGATGAAACATTATGATGTAATGATGTATTGATGAAACATTATGATTTAATGATGTATTGATTGATCAATTATAGTTATAATACTTATAGAAAATATAATTTATTCAAGTAAAATGTTTAATACTTTTTTTTGAATTGAAAATGTTGAATTAAACATGGCTTATTACAAAAAAGGAGTTTAAACCCAAAAGAGCCTTAGTTTTTTGTTGTTGTTTTTTTCAACTCTGGTATGTATGTATGTAATTAATCTAATTAATTAAATGCTTTACCTAATTAGTTTCTAGGACTTGAAAAACCAAACAAATAAAAAAATAATTAAAAAGGTTTTAGGTGAAAATAGGTGAAAAAAATTATGATATAAATTTTTCTTTTTTTTACTTTGATTTACATTGTCTTGAAACATTGTTTTACCTTCGTTGTATTACCTTTGTTGTATTACCTTTGTTGTATTACCTTTGTTGTATTACCTTTGTTGTATTACCTTTGTTGTATTACCTTTGTTGTATTACCTTTGTTGTATTACCTTTGTTGTATTACCTTTGTTGTATTACCTTTGTTGTATTACCTTTGTTGTATTACCTTTGTTGTATTACCTTTGTTGTATTACCTTTGTTGTATTACCTTTGTTGTATTACCTTTGTTTTATTACCTTTGTTGTATTACCTTTGTTGTATTACCTTTGTTGTATTACCTTTGTTGTATTACCTTTGTTGTATTACTTTTGTTGTATTACCTTTGTTGTATTACCTTTGTTGTATTACCTTTGTTGTATTACCTTTGTTGTATTACCTTTATTATACTGTTATTATACTTAATAAAGTAATTTGATATTAAATAATAAGTATATAATAAAAACTTTAACTATTGCATAAGAAATCATCATTGTTGTTATTTTTTTTTTTTTTTTAATTTTAGTCATAGCAATGAGGTTTATTATTATTATTGAGGATTTAAATTTTTTTAGTTATTCTGTATTTAAGAACTATTCATTGGACATAGCTCCTAGAAAAATTTCAGATGGATTTAAAAATTTAGACACTAGTTTTCGAGATGTGGATGCAGCATTATCAATAGACTGCCACGTTTTTTTATTTAAAGGTTTATTTATTTATTTTGTTTTTTTTTAGCTAGTCCTAAAAAAAAGTTTAAATTTTTTTTATCTTTTTTTTTTTAGGTGATTATTATTGGAAATATACTTTAGAATTATCATCAATGCAATATAAATTTGATTATGAAAGGAAAATTTCTACTCATTGGAAAGGGTTACCTAGTTCTATTAATGGTGCATTTAAATGGCATGATGTCCATGAACATAGAAAGATTTATTTTTTCAAAGGTAATGCAAACAATACAAAAGTTTGAAATTTTTTTTTTTTTTTCAGTATTTGCAATTATTTTAAATATTTTACTTTATCAAATTTTTTTAAAACAAGGTTTTTAAGTTAAAATTTTTATAAATCTTGTTACTTTTTAATTTTTGTTTTAAAGAATTGTAGTTTTTTTTTTAAACTCTTTAAATTCTTAAAAATATTAACAGAAATGTTAGAATAATATACATAAAAATGTAATTGATGTCATGTTTACATTCTTAAATGATAAAAATGTGATCGATGTCATATTTACATACTTAAATGATAAAAATGTGATCAATGTCATATTTACATACTTAAATGATAAAAATTTGATTGATGTCATATTTACATACTTAAATGATAAAAATGTGATTGATGTCATATTTACATACTTAAGTGACAAAAATGTGATCGATGTCATATTTATATACTTAAATGATAAAAATGTGATTGATGTCATATTTACATACTTAAATGATAAAAATGTGATCGATGTCATATTTACATACTTAAATGATAAAAATGTGATTGATGTCATATTTACATACTTGAATAATAGAAATGTGATTGGTGCCATACTTAAATGATAAAAATGTGATTGGTGTCATATTTACATACTTAAATGATAAAAATGTAAATGTGGAGTTTTAAAAAAATAAAATAAGAATTTCCTCATTTAAAGATTAACGAAAAACACAAGTTAAAGAAAAAGATTAAAGAAAAACACAAATGTTAAAAGAATTTTAAAATTGCTTAGAATTAGTTTTTTAATTAATTTGCTGTTTATATTTCGAATAAAAACTAAAAGTAAAAGTTCAACAAATGTTTAACAAAGTTATTACTTAAGAGAAATTTAAATGTCTAAAAAATAAATTATTAATAGAAATAAGTTTTATTGTCTCTTTGGATTGGATTGTTTTTATTTTTTCTAGTTTTAAGCTAAAAAGAAAAACGAAAGCGATACTGACTATAAATAAAATAATTATTGAATACAACAAACCATGATAAAAGTTAAAAATTGATCATTAAAAATTAAAGAATTAATGATGAAGTTATAGAAACAAAATTAAATCATTCTTAATATTCAAAATAGTTTTGAGCAGTTTTACGAAATCTGCCAAAATATATATAATAAACTACAATGAGAAGAATGAATAGAATGTAAATAATGAATTTTTAAAATAAATAATACTAATACATGACTTCAATAAAATTTTCTTCAAAATTACTTTAATCAAATTATTAATAAAATTTTCAGACTATCCATCACATGTCTTTTAAATTTCATTTACTTTCTTCCATTAAATTTTATTACTCAGCTACATTTATGTCTTACTCAATTGTGTAACTCAGCTCTATCTTATTCAATTATGGTCTCATTATTTTGCTTAGCGAAGCCCGTTGAATCGCTGTTGTTGTTCTCAACGTTTCCATATTTGGAGTATGTGGGTTTTATTCTTTATATATATATATAAAGTATTGAACGAGGAGCATTTTATTTTTAGCTTGGGGCTACTTTAATTGATCACCATTTCATCAATTAGAAAAAAAGTTTTAAGCATAGTCTTTGTGTTTAAGATTGTCTAGTAATTTTGTGTAACAAGATTTTGTTTAATAATCCTTGGTTTACCTGAAATATCAGCATCTTTTCCTTCATAACTTTTCAGTTTTCTATGAAAACATTCTCCACCAGTAATCTTATCAAGTATTTTTGTTGTTTCCTAAAGTTACTTTAGGAAATAACAAAAAAACTCTACAGAATGTTAAATATAAATTAGTTTCTTTAAAGATTTCATAAAATGCTTTCCCAATGTAATTGTAGTTAAAATAGTTAATGAAGTTAAAATAGAGCTATGAAAAAAAGAGATATTGGCTGGTCTTTTAAACCATTCAAAGTTAAATAATGCTTGACCAAAATGTAAATTTTTATTGTATAAGTAGCAAAAACTATTTTGTTTAAACAATTTGAATTTGCTTTAATAATAATTTACTGTAAAAATAATATTTTAATTAAAATTAAATCTGTTTATTGTCCGCTTTAGGATGTTTTTTTTTTAAAGTTTTTTAAAATTTATTTTGACAACTTTTTTTCAATAAACTTAAATAATAAAAAAAAAAAATGGACTGTCAATTTTTGACAGAATAAAACTTGACAGCCTTTGGGCAAAGAATCCATTTACAAACTTTTACAAGGTTTTAATATTAAAAAATGTTTAGTTAATCAAAAACAAGATACTTTAGAATGAACACAGCAGCTTAGTTGTTGCAGAGTTTTTAATACTTCTTTTTAATACGTCTTTTGCGCATTGTTGTGAATTCATATATTTGTATAATATTTTTGGGTTATTTTTCACAATCATTAGTTTATACTTTTGTTTTGAAATTTCAAATAAAACTTTTTTAGACAACTGCTTACATTAGTTATGAAGATTTCAAATTTTCTATTTACTAGAGCAATTTCTGTATCTTAAATTCTGTTTTTTTCTCTAATGAGTAAGATGAGGTCTTTGTTTGTCTTTGTTGTTAAGAGACAGATGCTTTTTTTTCATTGTTATTCATATGATTAACCTTAATCTTAACTTCAATTGGCTTCATTTTAAATTTTTGTATCTGATTTTCATGGATACTATACCAAAAGGGATATGTCTCCTTGAGGGCATTATTCAGCTTATTTCGTTCTGTTTTGAGTATGAAATCTTGTTGATGTTCAGTATATGTTAAACATTTTCAAAACTCAGAAGTAATTGTCTTGCACATCTCAAGCAATCTTCCATTTTGTAGCATTTTGTACCTAAGATGTTTCAGGTGTTGACATTTCTTATGCAAAAAAGTTAAGAAGGAGTTATAGATATCTATATCATTGTCTGGCTTGAACTCATTAAAGTGTTGGCTGAAGGTCTATTAAATAGTAAAGAGAACCTTACTATACAATAGACAATACTTTAAAATTACTATTTGATTGAAACAGGTTGAAAGAGAGAAAAAGAACAAGGAATCATTTAATCCAATAAGCTGTAATGTTTCAGCAATAAAGAAAGCAATCTGACACAAAAATTGAAGCTAAAAGTAAAACACTTGCGAAAAAACAAGACAGAAAAAATATTTTAGTCAATTAAGTAACATCGGCATTAAACTCTAGAAAACTGAGTAGTTGTTCAGCAATTGCAATATATTTATTTACAATTTGAAGTGTTCAATTCCTTCCGACTAAAACATAAATATGTCTTCAGTTTTCAAATAAACAAAAACACAAATGTTTGTTATACCTAAGTTTTAGATGTGCTGCCATTAACAGTAGCACATGGAGCAGGAATGTGTACACGTTATGTTCCTCCCTTGATAACCATCAAAGTGAAACTGTATCAAAATATGTGAAAGACCTGTTTTATATTTTAGTAAAAAGAATTTCAGGCTTTATTTGATCAAAACTTGTGTGACTTGTACAAAGTGACAAAGATGAAAAGATTAACAAAAAAACACTTAAAATAATTTGATGATCCTGTTGCGAAGCTGATCGGCAGCATCAGTTAGATATAAATGATTTAAACAGTTTCCTATGACAAATGATTATCAAGTTAATAGTTTGTAGCTTATATTTTGCAGTTGCTTAGCCATTTAGTTGCTTATCACTAGTTCTACCACAATTTAAAAAATAATTTTTTAAAATAATCTTTTTTTGATAATAAAAAAAGTTTATTATATAATTTTTTATTAGAAAATAAAAAAAAATGGTCTGTAGTTAGTATATTCAAAATTTGACCCATTTTTGTGAACCCAAATAATGTTTGAAGTTTTAAAGAAGTCAGGAAGATTCCGTCTATAAATGAATCATTAGTAATTATACCGAATAGCTCATGATTTTTGATGATAGTTGTAAAATTTTAGTGGGATTATTAACAGGGCTCAGACTTTTCTCTTTACTCGTTTATAATTAATTATTATACACATAATTTTTTTTGAAAAGTTTACTGCAATGTAAACTTAATTATTATAACACTTTGCTATAAGTTTATCATAAAGTTGATTAAATTAATTCAATTAATCTGTTTAATTCATTTCAACACTTTAATTCAATTTATAAGCTACCATGAAATCATTTGATTTCCTGATAGCTTTTTGAAATTGCGAATTTTTTTTTTTTAATCAATAAAAGTTTCGGATCTATGGGCAGCCATCGTCTAACATTTTATCAATCTATTGTTTAAATGTAAGCCGTATTAACTTTAATTAACTAATTAAACACATATGAACAAATATTGTTAATTAATCAGTTTGTTTAGAATATTGATAATATTTGTGGTGCAAAAATATGTATACATATCAATATATATTAATTTACGATTTTATTTAGGTTCTGAATACTATCGTGTAAATGTAGAAAATTTTGAGGTTGATTATGGTTATCCTATGAAACTCTCTGACAGTTTTTTAAAATGCACCAGCAAATCTTCTAAAAGACTTTTTTCTAGTTATATTTTGTTTACATCCGTATTATTAACTGTTTGGTCATTCATGTAAGAAGTTTGAACAATATATGTTTTATATAATATATATACCTTAGTGTTTAATGTTTATTATTGTAATTCAGTTAGTTTTTATTTACCTTGTTCATTACAGTTTTATGATTTAACAGTTATTTTATATATTTAAAATTTATTCATTGATTTAGATTTTTAAAATAATTTATGCTTAAATTTATGCATTGATTTAAATTTTTTAAATAATTTATTCTTTAGTTTATGTATTGATTTAGATTATTTAAATAATTTACTCTTTAATTTATGTTTTGATTTAGATTTTTTAAATAATTTATATATTGATTTAGATTTTTAATATAATTTATGCTTTAATTCAAGCATTGATTTAGATTTTCTAAATAATTTATTCTTTAATTTATGTATTGATTTAGAGTAATATATATAAATTTTTATAATAACTTATTTTTTAATTGTTTGCATTGATCTTTTTAAATAATTTATACTTTGATCAAAAAATTTAATCAATAATTAGATGTTACAATAAAGAGCTTATATTAAATTTGTTTTTGAATTTCTTTAACGATTTTCTGTACTTTGCTGAGGCAACAGTTTTTTAAATTATTTTTATAACTTTATGATATATAATATATATTTTTTTAATTTAATATTATTAAAATAACTTTTTTATTGCGTTATGTTGCAGAATTAATCATTTTTCTAAGATTTAGTTTGTTATGTCTTTAAAAAAAAATAGTTTTTTTTAAAAACAAAATTAATATGTTTTTTATGTTTTTAAATGAAAACAGTTATTTTGGACGGAATTATTTTTATATTACAATTGTCTGCAGTTGTTGTTTGTTCATACTTCTCCCTAAAAACAAAATTTGTTTCAGAAAAAACGAAGTTCGTTGCTGTAAACTTTGTATGCTGGTCGATATGAAACATGAACCAGCATAATGCTGATTGTTTTTTTAGATAATTACAATACTATATATTGTTTATTTGATTCAATATATTGAATCAAATAAACAAGTAGAAATTTAATTCTAAAAAAGTGTTTCGAATAAATTTTTTTGTCAAAATAATCTTTTAAAGTGGTGGTAATGGTGGTCAGAAAACAATTTTTTTGGCTACATTAAAAATTTAATAGTTTTTTTTTAGTTGTTAAAATTAGAAATATTTTTTTTTTTTTTTTGTTACTGAAAATTAGACTAGAAACTACTAAACTTTTAAACTACTAACTAGAAATTGTAACTAATTTTTTATACCTGATGATGTCAATTGATATTGATGAAACGTGTGTTATGGAAAACGTAATCACCTGTCTATAAATAAAGTGAGATACGAAGATCAATATAGATTTGAAAAATAAATCAACTGTTTGTAATCTCCAAACAGTTTCATAGATCCTAACCTATTGAATTTTTTTTTTAAGTTAAGAAGTTGTGGAATCTTTATATATATATATATATATATATATATATATATATATATATATATATATATATATATATATATATATAGCATCAAAGTTAAGGACAGTTATGGTTTGACATGATACTATTTTTCGTTTTGATATAAACATTGAACTTACAAAATTTCTAATAAGTTTAATTCTAATTCCATGTAACAATTCCGTTAGAATATTATGGGACATCTAAGGGGTCGTTCATGAATTACGTCACGCGGTGGATGAGTTATTAATTCTACGATGATTTATTACAAGTGGAAGAGACCGAATTTGTAACAAAACAATTTTTTAAGGTTTTTTAAAATCTTTCTTTCAAATAAAGATGTGCCGAGCCAAACGTAAACCCTTCAGTTGGTGTATTTACACTCCACTGCAGCTATTCCAATTTAAGTCGGTTAATGAATCTAAACTTGTATCAAAGTTTATATTACGTCTATATCAGTTAGTAATATAGCCGTAACCGCAATGAAAAAATATATAATTATTAAGTATTATTATATTAATATTATTAAACAGCAATATTAGTTAAAACACTTAAAACTTTGAAATAAAACATCAAATATTACATGCATTTAAAAACATCATTTAAACTCCATTTTCAAAACATTACAGTAGCTAATTGACATTAAAGTTATATACTCATTATAATTTAAATAACCTCAAAAGTTTTTTGTTCGCTTAGTCCCAGTTAGTCTATACAATTTTTTATGGAGCTATAGGAGTCCAAAAAAAAAATAACAATTTGTAAAAAATAAAATTTATATGTGTTAAATTGTATTAATTACACCATGTAACAACATTTTTGTTTATGTTAATTTTTTAATGTTTCTTACATAATTTTTGTATGCTGATTTCATCAAGATTTCCTGAGAAAAAGCATAAAGTATATTTCGGAGTTTTCGTATATGTGTAATGCAATTAAAACATTATATATATATGCTGATTTTAACTATATTCGTGTGTTTATTTTCAGTTAAACTAATTACAACTGTTACATGAAGTAGTGAATATGTCTAGTAGATCCTGCAAGCTTTGTCCTGACTCATTCTGTTATGTTTGTGGTTACTATATTAGTCCAACACAAGCTAAACATAAGATTGTCAGTGGTACAAAATTCTTTACTGCATATCATGCTTATTTTGGCATGGCTATGGGAGATCAGGACAAATCGTGGGCACCACACTACAGTTGTGGTAGCTGCAGATCAACTCTGGAGGGATGGCTGCGTGGAATCCGAAAGTCAATGCCCTTTGCGATTCCGAGAATATGGAGAGAACCGACGAACCATCATGATGACTGCTTTTTCTGCATTGTTGACATTTCAAAGTATAAAAAACCGAAAGATAGGCTGACTCTAGTTTATCCAAGTATACCATCTTCTATTGGACCAGTTCCACACAGTGATGAATTGCCTGTTCCTACTCCACCTCAATCCGAAGAAGCAGCTGCATATCATTCTGAAGTAGACTCACCGGATGAACTCAATGATGACTGTGATTTCAGGGAACCGAATGATTCACCTCATTTCCCTAACCAACAAGAACTTGATGACTTAGTACGAGATTTAGGTCTCACTAAATCAAATGCAGAACTTCTGACATCACGTTTGAAAGAATGGAATTTATTAGATCCAAGCTGCAGAACCTCGAAATACCGAAAAAGACATGAAACATTCGCATACTTTTATGTAGTATCAGAATCACTGTGCTATTGTCATGACGTTCGTGGTCTTTTCAATGACATTGGCATTGTTCACAATCCTGAAGAGTGGAGATTATTCATTGACAGCTCAACAAGAAGTCTAAAGGCAGTTTTGCTCCATAACGGAAACCGATTTCCTTCGATTCCAGTAGCTCATTCCGTTCACCTAAAGGAAGACTATAAGAACGTGAAGTTGTTGCTTGAGAAAATCAACTACGACAGTTACAAGTGGGATGTATGTGGAGACTTTAAGATGCTAGCATTTCTTCTCGGTCTGCAAGGAGGATACACAAAGTACTCGTGTTTTCTTTGTTTATGGGATAGCATGGCTGCAAACCAGCACTTCACAAGACGTGAGTGGCCAGTGAGAGAACATTTACAGCCTGGTTCGCACAATGTTATTATTCAATCTCTGATACCTGTTGAAAAGATCTTACTACCACCCCTTCACATTAAACTTGGTCTTATCAAACAATTTGTCAAAGCATTAAACCCAGATAGTGCAGCATTCCAGCATATTCGGCAGATGTTTCCAAAGGTGTCAGATGCAAAAATTTCAGCAGGTATATTCGTTGGTCCACAGATTAAAGTTATGTTGGCATGTAAGGAGCTTGAGGACAAAATGTCTGCTGTTGAAAAAGAAGCATGGACTGCATTTAGACATGTTGTTCATAGCTTTTTAGGCAACAATAAGAGTGATAACTACAAAGAGATAGTGGAAAACTTAATTGTACGGTACGCAGATATGAAATGCAGAATGTCAATAATGCTGCATTACCTGCATTCACACTTGGAATTTTTCAGACCAAATTTGGGTGATGTGAGTGAAGAGCACGGGGAACGTTTCCATCAGGATATTCTTGCAATGGAGAAAAGATACCAGGGCAGATGGGATGCAGCTATGATGGGTGACTACATCTGGTGTTTGATACGCGATGACGAGAAACTTCATAAAAGAAAACCTCGTTCTACTGTTCACTTTTAGTGTTTTTTGAGATTGTGAGAGACTGTTACAATACAATATAATGTAACATTATGTAATATATGTAAGAAACATGATGTAACATGAAGTTTTGTAACATAACATAACACTTTTGAATTAGTAAATGTTTTATATTGACTAAAGTAGAATCTAATGCAAAACGATTTATATTAATTATATGTTTAATTGATTTTTTGGTTTTACGACCAAACGATTGATGCAATAAAAAATCCAATGTCATATTCAGACTCAGCATACTCAAATTAATTAAGAAACATCAAAAAATTTTGATAAACAGAAAAAAATTTTTTTTTTGTTACATTGTGTTATTTAACTTAAAGCAGCTTAGAAAATTCAAAATACTATTCAATTTAAAACCACAAAAAAGATTAATTTAGCAAAGAAGTACGAATTTAATGCGTAATTTAAAGGCGGAGGGGGGTCAGTAAATCGACTTGTTATTAGAAAAGGAGGAGTCCGAAACAGTCCGAAAACCGCGTTGCATAATTTATGGAAATATCTTATAATCCCTTAACTTTTAAAAAAAGTTGTTCCAAGAACGGACCTTAACTTATAATTATGAACCTTAACTTATAGTCCCTTAACTTTTAAAAAAAGTTGTTACAAGAACGTGGAACAGAATAAAATATTTTTTTATTTCCATTGAAATTCTATTGGTAAAATATTTCCATTAAAACATTTCTATGACTTTTGTCATTACTTTAGCAGTGTTACTTTTGACAAAATCAATAAACGATTGT